AAACCAACCCCTCCACCCCCGGTCCCCCCCCCATGGTTATTTCGCCACAATGCTTTCCCCGTGCCCGGCCCCCTTTGGTGCTGCCGACAAATCCACGGCCAACCACAGCCCAAACTTAGCACTGCCGGCGAGGCTGCCTTTTCATTTTAGAGCATTTTCTCCTCACGGAAGAAAAAAAAAGTAAACGAATCCCACATGCGACTGCAACCCAGATGAGGAGCGGCGACAGCTTTACCGAAAGAGAGTTCTCTCGCCTTCCTTTCCAGTCAGCCCTCGGGAGCCGAAAGATTTTATCCCCTTCCGATGCTGGAGGAAAAGTCCCCTCCTCGACCCCTCCTTGTTTACTGTAGCCCTTTTACAGGGTGGTTCTCTCAGGGTGTTTGCCCTTCAGTTGCCAACATAAGCAAAAAGCAGTTTCCCCCCCTTTTAAAAGCTGCCGTCAGCCCTGAGAGACGCTTCCCAGAGTCCAGCAGCTGGGAGAGGGGAGAGGGAGCTTACCTGGTAGGAGGCTGAGCGCCCAGGCTACAAAGAGCCCTCTGTAGAAGTCCATGTGAGTGGTAGAGGCTTGTGGTACCCTACCCCTACCATCCGCTTGAGGCACTGAGCCAGAGTGGTAGCCTTCCTCTGAAAAAAGCGTCCACTTCTCCCCAGCCTTTCCCCGCTCCCTGCCAGAAGCCGCTCATTGGGAAGGAGTGGGAGGGACAAGCTCAACTTGTAGGAGGTACAGCCTGAGACGACTGGAGAGAGGGCAACGTTGTGCAGAGCATCGACTCTGGCAGCCCGGCCTGCTGGGGCCTCTCCCCCCTCAGGCTTCACGTTCAGATGCCCCAGCCTGGGCAGCAATGGCAGGAGTCACTGGCCGGGCACGGCCAAGGAGAGAGGATTTCTCCCCACACCGAAGAATCTTTTCGGATGGCAAGAGGAAAGAGCTGATGTCGAGAGCCGCGGCGGCGACGGGCCTGCTGGCCACCGGAGAGTTACACCAGGCCTCGGTCCGAGCCTTTGCCTTTACCGTCTGTCAAGCGCGAATCTCGTGAGGCGTTCTTGGAGGCACGGGCAGTGGGTGAAAGTAGGGCTGGGGAAGGTAAGCCCCAACCCCCACCCCCAACCCTGCCCCTTCTGTCCAGGCTCTGCCATCACGGGAGCCAAGGTGCCCCCCCAGCACCACAGGGAGGGAGACGGCGTGCTGCCCCAGCCTCCCTGGCCCAGAGCACAAGGAGGGCAGGTGCTCAGGGCAGAAACACTCTGCCCCCAGTAGGCCTACAATAGGCATTCTGGGGGCGGAGTCTGTGCTGGGCTAGGCTGGCCCCCCGGTGCACTGCACACCGTACAACAGCGATGGGGCGTGAAGCGCTTGGGCGCACAACGCCTAATGGCAGCTCTAAGAGGCAGCTGCCTGGCTAGTCCCCCTCTTAATCCGGCCCTATGTGAATGCAAATCAGTGGGGTCTGAGCAGCATCTGAGCTATAAGATCATGTGCACGGCTGCTGTACACTTCCCCCCCTCCTGTATAAATACATACGTTCATTTTTCAGCTGGATTGGATCCCAGAGGCCAATGCTTGATCTGCAAAAAGAAGCCCTGAAGAACCAATCTCGCTACCAGATTTACCATTTGCATGGCTGGATCTTTGGCATTGTCTCCTGTTACTCAGAGGTCGATCTCCTGGGGTTTGATTTAGTGGGTCTAATAAGGACCTGCTAAATCGACTGATGATGATGCCCCTGTCGATTCTGGTACTCCACCGAGGTGCAAAGAGGAATGGAAGTTGCTGGGAGAGAAGTAGGGGTCACCAAATGAAATTAATAGGTAGCAGGTTTAAAAACAAACAAAAGGACGTTTTTCTTCACGCAGCACAGAGTCAACCCGTGGAACTCCTTGCCAGAGGATGTTGGGAAGACCAGGACTTTAAACAGGGTTCCAAAAATAATTAGATACATTCATGGAGGTTAGGTCCATCAATACTTACTAGACAAGATGAGCAGGGATGATGTCGTCCCTAACCTCTGTTTGTCAGGGGCTGGAAATGGATGACAGGAGAGGGATGATTCCCTTTTCTGTTCACTCCCTCTGGGGCATCTGGCATTGGTCACTGTCGGCAGACAGGACACTGGGCTAGATGGACCTTGGATCTGACCCAGTCTGGCCATTCTTATGTCCTTATGAGAGTTTCTCCCATTGACCTCCTGCAGTGTAAATTCAACCTAAGGTATGTCGACTGCAGCGATGCTATTCTTGTAGCTGGAGCTGTGTATCTTAGGTCAACTTTCTCCCTTAGTATTCCCCAGGCCTCTGGTAAATGACAATGACAGGCAGCAAAAAAGGGTTGGGTTTCTGATAAATGAGATTCTGAAAGGGTTGTTCCATCTATAGCAAACCAGTCCTTATAAGCTGCAGATGGAGACGATAAAGCCTTAATTCCTTCCTCCCACCCCACTTCATATCAATCCACAACCTTTTGAAATTAGCTCAGATGTCGGACTCTTATCTCAGGCTACTGGATACTGTTCAAGCCGGGTTCAGGGTCTGAAGAAAGGAGCCAAGATTTGCTCTAGACGCTTGGCTGATGCAGAACATTTGGGACAGTTTCTTTCCACTTTTTCCAGCAGAAAATGTACATTTGGGGACTCCTGATTGGAGAGAAGGAATGCCTTGATCGGAGATCAAAGCAGCAGCAAAACCCAACACATTTCAACTGTGTGCACGCTCTTCAGATTTGCTTGCATCTGGTTCTGTCCAGACACGACATGCTTTTTGATAAAATTAAACATTTTCCGTTTGCTTCCTGAATGTCCCACCTGCCTCTCCCCTGATCAGATCTAGACAAAAAATCAGAATTTCAAAGGAGATCAACAGCAGAGGGGAAACACTGTTTTTCTTTTTTAGAGTATAGGATTTTTAAATAATTATTTTTGGGGAGTCACAAAACAGAGGAAAATATGAAAATATATAATTATACACAAGGACGCAGGAAATTTAACCACAGTCTAGCTGAAGTACTGATAAATGAAGCAGATTAGAACTATTCAATTTGAACAAAAAATGCAACATAGCAATCCATGATCCCGTTAAGGATCAAAGAACAGCAGACTTTGTGGTTTAGAGGCATGTGTATTTGACGCAGTCTGGTAAAATGTTCCATAGTAAATCCACGGTTTTTCAAGGACTTACATGCTTGCTTATCTTTACATGTTGTAAGGGTAGCAAGATTACACACAAGAAGTAAAGTATGTGCATACATCTAAGGATGTTTCTATTTTACTGAACAAGGTGCTCGGAGAAGGACTTCTGGTTGCTGCTGATCAGCAAGAAAAGTCCCCCTGGGAACTTCAGTGTTATCAACCAGCAAATCAATGCATTTATTCAGTTGTATGGGAAAAGCCACAAATCATATCTTACTAACTCACTCACCAGGTTGGTCTCAGAATATTAGAGAGAAAAAGTAGGTGAGGTAATAGCTTTTATTGGACTTCTGTTAGAGACAGAGAAAAGCTTTCGAGCCAAAAGGGACCAGATGAAGAACTCCACATGGCTTGAAGCGTCTCTCTTCCCAACAGAAGTTAGTCCAATAAAAACTATTACTTCACCCAGCCTGTCTCTCTACTTTGCATTCTTTGATAGGATAACAAGCCTTGTGGTTAAGGGGGCAGCGGTAGATGTGGTATACCTAGACTTTAATAAAGCATCTGATAGAGTCTCACATGACCTTCTTATCAATTAACAAGGGAAACAGAACCTAGACGGAGCTACGATAAGGTGGGCACATAACTGGTTAGCTAACCATTTCCAGAGAGTAGTTACACACGGTTCATAGTCGTGCTGCAATGACATGATGAGTGGGATTCTGCAGAGATTAGTTTGGGGACTGGTTCTGTTCAATATCTTCATCAACAATTTAGATAATGGCATAAAGAATACACTTATAAAATTTGCAGAGGACACCAAGCTGGGATGGGTTGCAAGTGGTTTGGAGGAGAGGGTCATAATTCAATATGATCTGGACAAACTAGAAATATGGTCTGAGGTAAATCAGATGAAAATCAATAAGGACAAATGCCAAAATTCATAGAATACTAGGACTGGAAGGGACCTTGAGAGGTCATCGAGTCCAATCCCCTGCACTCATGGCAGGACCAAATACTGTCTAGACCATCCCTGATAGACATTCATCTAACCTACTCTTAAATATCTCCAGAGATAGAGATTCCACAACTTCCCTGGGTAATTTATTCCAGTGTTTAACCACCCTAACAGGTAGGAATTTTTTCCTAATGTCCAACCTAAACCTCCCTTTCTGCAGTTTAAGCCCATGGGGATAGAACAAGAAGCAAAGATGAACAAGTTTTCTCCCTCCTCCTTATGAAACCCTTTTAGATACCTGAAAACGGCTATCATGTCCCCCCCTCAATCTTCTCTTTTCTAAACTAAACAAACCCAATTCCTTCAGTCTTCCCTCATAGGTCATGTTCTCTAGACCTTTAATCATTCTTGTTGCTCTTCTCTGGACCCTTTCCAATTTCTCCACATCTGTCTTGAAATGTGGTGCCCAGAACTGGACACAATACTCCAGCTGAGGCCTAAGCAGCACAGAGTAGAGCACAAGAATGACTTCTCGAGTCTGGCTCACAACACACCTGTTAATGCAGCCCAGAATCGTGTTTGCTTTCTTTGCAACAGCATCACACTGCTGACTCATATTCAATTTGTGGGATCAGTATGTGGAAGAGGGGTTTTGGGTTGAAGCTGGAAGGGGGATATGGGGTGGGGGTGAGGGCTCTGGCTGCAAGTATGAGCTGTGGGGTTCAGCTGGGTATGAGGCGTTTGAGAGGCAGGGGGTCCAAGGCTGCAGTCAAGGGATTGGAGTGTGGGAGGGGGCTTGGGGCAGGACATTGGGTTGAGAGGGGACTTGGGGTTGGGGGGTGGGGTCCTGGAGGGAGTTAGGATGCAGGAGAGGGTTGGAGGTGCAGGGGTAGGGTCAGAGTTACGGTGCAGAAGGGGGCTGAGGTTTGATGGTGGTGGGGAACAGGTATCTCCACATGGCCAACAACCACTTGCAGGCAGGCATTGTCCCCACAGTTCCCATTGGCCAGAATCACTGTGCCAAGAAGGGCTGGCCCAGAACGTAGCCAAATAGGCTAGTTCTCACTGCAAGGGTGGCAGAATCTGGCCCTACCTCAGAGAGGGCACTAACCTCCAAGAACCATATCCTCCAACCTGGTCTTCCCCTACACCACCCTTTAACTGGACCCATTTTACCTGCACTCCCGGCTACACCATGCTTAGTTCTGAACTCTTCCAGGCTACCCAGCTAGCCAGGCATTCTGCAGAACGGACTGTCCAGCATTTCTCCACCTCCCTCCAAAGTTAGGTCTTCTGAGACATGGACAGAGAAATCCAGAATTTGCTTCCAGTTACTGGATAAACGAGGCTGCAATTTTCTTGCTGTCAACTGGCTTTGAGAGGAGGAACCATTAATTGTTGTCATCATCTAAATTCTCCAGAAAAGGGGGACCACCAGCTCCACCCAACCGGCCTCTCGCATGGTGAGTCTGATTGCTACCCGGCAGCCAAACATGACAAAGCTAGGAATGTTCCCTGGAGTCCTTTCTCCAGAAACGATAACTGTGAGCTGTTTACACAACGTGTGTTTTTAGCTGAGGGGCAGGTCCACATGCGGACTGCAACTGGCATCCAAGACGTTATTGGGAAGGGT